CCCTGCCAGTACCTCCCACCAGCAACAGGGCTTTTAAGTTAGCTCCTTATACAGGGTCTTCACTTCTGTGAAATGGATTACAACACAGAGCTGTTGTGAGATTTTAATGAAATCCATACTTAGGAGCACTAAACTGACACTAAACATGGGTTTTTCCTTCCCTACCTCCAGGGTCTCCACAACACCACTTTAATCCTTTGGGGGTCACCCTACTCCAGTAGCTTGGCTTTAGCTGTTAAGAGACACCACTATGGCTGGTGTCAAAAGACATTTGTCAAAATACAGTCTTTTCAGCAACCTGGGCCAAAATCTGGGATCAGGGTAAAGATGAAGGTCATGGTAGAGAGAAAAATCCACTAGGCAGAAAGCAGGAGCCAGAGCCTCCCATTAGGAAAAGCTGAAGGACAGACAGCACTCCAGGAAAGGAAACTCATTTCAACCCTCATTCTTAAACCTCACTCCAACTTATTTCCCTTTGGACGCCTTCCAAGCCCAGGCTCAGGGGACAAGAGATGGCACAAGATTTGGGTTCAAATCCTGATTCTGCCACTTGTGTGACCTTGGGCAACCTCTCTGGGCCTCAATGGTCTCAACTGGAAAATGGGAAGACGGCAATAAAAAGCCTCCCCAGGGTGAACGTGGTGGTGGGGGCATATGAGAGATGGATGTGAAAGCACTTTGAAGATGGTAGGCCACTCAACAAATGTATGAGGTTATTCATACCATCACAGGAGGCTGGAAGGTAACATTAGCTGGGGGAGAATATTGCCAAGTAACACACACACACATTTCTTTGCAAGGACAAGAAACCCAACTGAACCAGGCCTGAAAAACAGATCCTGACCCACCATGGGGATCAGAGGCATGGGAATTAATACCCCAGAACAGTCAGGAAAAAGGGACCATTATGGAGGAGGGCAGGGGACTGTGAGGGACCAACAGAACAGGGAAGCAGACCACAAGAGTGCAAATCCATCTGATTAGCTCAAGCATCCTAGGGTGTAACCCCCCCCCCCCGTGACACAGGAGACCCTGTCACCTGAGGTCCCCATCAACCAGACACCATGAAGGGAAGAGGAAGGGGAAGAGGGTGGCAACAGAAGGCAAGGCTGGTCAGAGGCTGACCACTGGCCCAGCTGGGCTTCCCCATCCTGAAGAGACGAGCTGCTCGGGCCCAGCTTCTCCGAAAGGAGCACCCTTTCTTCTCAGTGCTACACACAGGGACCCTCGCCCCTTCACCCAGCTCTCACCTGGAAGGGGTCACTATGGTGCCCCAGCGCCTCCGCCTCCTCCTGGGGTCCTCCAGCGGCTCTGCCAGGCGGGGAGAGGGGCAAGGAGACCCTTCCCCCTTGCCACCTCTTCCTCGGCTTTCGCCCTTCCTGAGGGGCGGGCCCGGGAAGCCTCCCCTGGAGGGGAGGGGGTGACAACCTGATCTGACCTCGCGGTCCAGTCCTCCTCCTCCTCGAGGCCGACAGTTGCTGAATCCGGATTTGATTATGGGGGTCTGAACCCCGGATATTTGAACGCAGGGGACTGAATGGTATTTGAAAGCCTGGGGAATGAACCCCAGATACTGGTGCACCGAGGGTCCTGAACCCCAGATAACTGAAATCCTGTGAAACAGAGTCCTTAGGTTGAGAGAGGTTGGGATCTGAGACCCGGATATCTGGAATCTGAGGGCAGATGCCGGATATTTGAGAAGCGAGAGGCCAAGCCTGGAAATTCAGGACCCAAGAGCCTGAGTCCCGGGTCTTCGACCACCGACAGGGGGCCCACCCTGAGGACGTCCGGCCTCACGGCCCCACTAACGCCAGGGTCCGAAGGTGACAGCCCCCACTCCTGCCCAGGCCTCCTCCCTTTCCCCTTCTCTTTCTTGAAGATAGCGGAAAAATTGTAGCTAAAACGCCGCTAGCGGTCCCCGCACCCTCTCTCCCTCTCCTCTTCTCCGTCTCAGCTTCTCTCCGTAACAGAGCCCTGATCTCGTCCCGATCTCCCTCTCCCTCTTCCTCCCAATTCCAAGATGGAGACCGGGCGGGAGCGCGCAGGCGCGGTAGGGATGCCGGGCCAAATGGGGCGGAGCCCTAAAGTGAAACGGCCCCGCCCCTCTCTCCTCACCGCCGCGGTCAGGCAGAAGGGCCACCACCGAGCCTGAGTGCGCGCGCGCCCCGCCACGCGGACCCTGGAGGAAGGGAGAAGGGATAGTCTTGGAGGGGGAGGAGCCCAGAGCGCGGTCAGACACTGGTCGCTGAGAGGGCTGTGGCGCATGCGCTTGCTCCTCCTTAGCGTTCAGCTCCCCCTGTTGCTAGGGGAAGCTTTGAGGGGGCGCGGGTTAGAGGAGAAGCCACGATGGGCGCATGCGTTCCGGAAAGAGGTTGGGAGGGGTAAGGGAAGGCTGCTGCTGGGCGCAGAAAAGGCGGGAAAATGGACTGCTCTGAAGTTGGTAACCATCCAGCCTGGACGCGGACTCCCAAGTCGAGGAATCTTGGCACATCAGTGCTGGGAAAACTAAATCGGTTTCATGAAAGTGAGGGCCTGAAAATTTGCGTGACCTGCCCAAGGTCACATTGCATTTTTGGCAAACACACTTCCATGACCATACCCACCTGAGCCTCCCAACTGGCTGGAATTACCAATCTTATTCCACAGAAGAAAACAAGGCATAAAGTGGCAGAGTTGGAACAAAAAAATATTTGTTTTTCAAAGCCCAGTCACATAGTGGGGAGAGATGAAGTAACCTATACCCTAATCCAATCTGTATCCCAAATGGGCTCACAGAAAAAAGAAAAAAAATTCTCTAAAGCTCCCAAGCCTGTCTACCCTCAACCCAACCCCCAATCAACACCCCAAGAATACTGAGGAAGAAAGTCTTTTATTTTTCCCCACATCCCTGCTCTTCATTTTTTGCAACATCTCTTCCAACTCAGAACCAAGGCCCAAGAGGTTGATTCAGACCTGAGAAAGACAAAAAGAAAATTAAAACACAGGCAGGTCAGAGGGCCCTTGAGCTCTGGGATGACTGCAGAAATTGAGGAAGGAGCAGAGGAAGTGACAACCAGAGATAGGAGTGGGCAGTTGTCCCAGTCAGGATGGCCTCAGGGCCCCAGGATCTGCCAGGGGCCAGAAAGCCTTCCTTCCCAGTTGACTCATATCTAAGAAAGGCTGAGAGGGCTCCACCACTTCCTGTCCCAAGTAGGTCCTTGGAGGAGTCAGGCCTGGCTCTCAGCAAAATGGTGAAATAAGCAAAGTTGATCTTGAGCTTCCAGTTTCACTGGTGGAGCCCTTCTCTGGGCCTGAGCTGTTTCCATTTCTGCCAGTTATTTTCTGGGGCACAGCATCCAGCCAAAGCTGACAACAGTTTAAGAGCTGGTGTACCACCTATGGTTCTCAAATCATAAGACCTACCTGTCAGAGTGGAAGCTCTGGTAGCATAGTGCCTCAGGCACTTGACTGCTAACCAGAAGGCTGGCGGTTCAAACTCATCAGCCACTCCTCGGAAGGAAGGATGGGCAATCTACTTCCGTAGTGATATTGCCTCAGAAACCCAAGGAGGGGTCGCTATGAGTCTATGAGTCGATCCGACTCAATGGCACATAACAGTAACAACACCACCTGTCAGAGTGAGGATTTTTTGCAGTATTTTTTCCCCTAATAAGCTGACATGTGAACTAATAAACCAAAAAGTGTTCCCCAACCACTGCTATCTTTGTGAAGTACAGTGGTATGAGGACCAACTTTTGCTAAGTGCAGTGATGGCTAAATGGAAATACAAGGTGTATGTCAAGTGCTTGGGTAAGATTTGTTTGATCTGTTCAAGAAGAATTTGACAAAAATTGCATCATAAAGATAGAGTGGGAGAACAATGTGGAATGAAAGTCAAAATCATAAAAAAGACCAGGTTTACTGATCTGATAGAGCCTGGTGAGACCCCTGAGACTGGCCCCTAGTTACCCTTCAGGTCTGGAATTGAACTCACTCCCATGGCTTCCAGCCAAACAATAGACAGGCATATAGGGTGAACATTCACACCAGGTAGATACACTCCTTAGAACGATCAATTATGGGAGAACAGAAGGGCATTGTTTCCACAGGGAGATAGCTCAGGGGGCAGGAAGGCATAGGAAAGAAGGACACAGGGAAGAGGTAAATACAGGGAAGAAACAGGAAGAGAGCTGTTACATTGTGGGGAACTGTAGTCAATGTTAGGAAACAAAATGTGTATGAACTGCTGTATGGAACATGAATCTGCTCTGCAAACTTTCACCCAACTCACAATAAAAATTTTTTTAAAAATTGCATTATAAAGCTGAGTATCATGATTTTAGGACAGAAGCAGGACAAGCACATTCCCTCTTCAGGATACATCATCAACTTGACCCCTTTCAATGCACCATTTTCGCCAATTTAAAAATATGTGTGTGTGTGTGTGTGTGTATAGTCTGTAGGATTCTGAAGACCCACGATTTTTTTTTTTGGTAAACTACAGTCACAAAAGCGTACGTATTAGATGACTGTATTTGTGCAAAGTTCAAAAAAGAAGTAAAATCAAGCCGTATTGTTTAGGAATGCACACTTGGTTACAAATTAGAAACCAAGACAACAGTTACCTCTATGAGGAGGGAAGGTGTTGTCAGAAAGAAAGGGACAATGAGGAGCTTCTGGTTTGCCTGAGTTGTGTTTCTAAGAATGTCTGCTTTATAACAATTTGCTCAGCTGTACTTTTAGGTTTGTGGGCTTTTCTACATGAGTGGTAAACATTTCATAATATAAAAGTAAAAAACAAGTAAGAAAAATGTTGAATGCTGATAGTGTACATTGTTTCCTGTCCCATGAAGAGCTGCAACTGAATAGGGTTCCCAGAGACCCAGCGGAAGCAACAGTTGAGAATGGATCCCAAGGACCTGATCTTCTTGTTATAAGGGCCACCCCAACCCCATTCCCAACTCCCAAAGGACTGTGACAAGCAACCTCACCTGAGAACAAGTGGGCGCTGGGCCAGGGCCTCAGAGCCGGGTTCTAGACCGGTGTGGCTCCCGGCGTGGGTGGAAGCACACGGCAGTGATGTAGCAGAGAAGGCCACAGAAGAGAAGCAGGAAGGAGCCCAACACCAGCAGCCTGGAGCCACACAGGGCCAGCTCCTCCTGGAAGGAGATACAGGGAGGGAGGGAGGACAGAGGCAGGATGGAGCATCGCCCTCTGGGAAGACATCCTACTCTCAGCCCAAGGGCTATAGAGAGAAGCCACCATGAGAGAGAGGGCACTCCACATCTAACCCTAAAGGGAAAATGTAATTTTTACACAAGGTAACATTTGTCTCAACGGTTTACACACTTTTTTCTTTCTTGCCCATCCTGTGACTGGACTTGAGCCCCTATAATGACACCGTGAGATAGGAGAGTTCATGATCATCCACACTTTACAGATGTGCTAGCAGGGTCAGTTCTGGAGCCCAGGGCTTCTCCGATTCCAAGAAGCAGGTCATGCTCTTCACCAGGTCTTTAAACTGAGGCAAGCGCAGGCAGAAGCCTGGTTTCCCTCATCTGCTGCGGCCAATCTCTACCCAGCCCCCACAGAGCACCTCTCTCTCCTCAAAATCCTGAGGTGGCTCCACAGCCTGCAGGGTCCAGCCACAGCTTCTGAGCCTGGCGTTCACGGTGCTTCTCATTCGGGCCCCTGCAGCTTCTCTGCCTCTTCTCCTAAGTCATTCCTAAGGCAGTCGTCACGGAGTTCTCTGCAAAGGCCTGTGTTCATGTTGTTCCCTTTGCCTGGGTTGTATCTCCCCTCTCCTGAACCCCTTCTATTACATTCCCTAGCAGAATCTTCCTCATTTTCCAAGGATCAGCCTGACAGGGCAGAATAAGCCTGGGACTAGGAGTCAGATGTGGTTGTAGACCTGGCTCTGCCACTTACCCAGTTGTATGGTCTTAAGCAATTCTCTCCCCTTCTCTATCTCCTCATCTGTAAAATGGGATAATAACATCTCCCTCAAAGAGCTATTTTAAGATCAAAGGAGGTAATGACCCTGAAGCACTCTGTGCATTGTAAACTACTGTATACATTTCTCATTCTTAAATGCTACCTTCTTTGTGAAGCACTCTCCATAAACATTCAAGTTGGGGTTAACTGCTCTCTACTGTGTTAATAGAACACCCTGCTCACGTCTGTATCATAGCAATCAACCCATTCTGCCTCTTATTACAGTTTCTGAGCTCCTTTGAGGTAGAGATCACATTTATCTCATTTAAAGACAGTAATTAATAGTAATCGCTGCCATTTATCAAACCTGTTATTTACCAGGCATTGTGCTGGGCACCTTACATCCATTCTCATTTAATTATTATATTTGTTGGTATTAGGAGATAGCATCATGCTTTCCATTTTACAGATGAAGAAGCTGAGGCTTACAGAAGCTAAGATGCTTGCTCAAAGGCCACACCACCTACAAGGGTCTGCTTGCAAACTTGGTGCTTTTTCAATTAGGCAACACCGCCTCTCAGAGCCTCTAGGGCCAAGAATTCTGCATGGCAGTCTATGAAACTCCGCTGACTGGAGGTTCTTACCGAGGTGAGCAGTTTGGTAAGCACAAGGCCTTCGTGGCTCCAGACCCTGATACATTCCTCAGCCACCCGGGGGCTCAGAGTGGCATTTCCTGTTCCGTCCTCTGAGCAGGATATGGGTGGCTGGCTGGAAGGCAGGATTCCCGGGGCAGCACTAAAATACAGGCAGGTTCCTGGAGTCCTTTCTGTGGTCACCCTGGCTGTAATGAGGACCAGTTCTTCTGCAAAAGATCCTGTAAGGCTCAGGAGGCAAAATGAAAGACAATGAGGGGTGGGGAGGGAGCAATGCCATCTTCAGATTTCTATTCATTCCTAGAGCTTCTTATATACCAGGCGTTTTGGCATTGATTCTATTCAAGAAAGTACTCTGTATCCCATCATTTATATCATCAAGAAATGAAAATAGCTGTGTGCCAATTTAAACAAAAAATTAACTTAAATTACCCTGCAATCAATGAAACAATCATACCAATACTTACAAGGTTGCAGTGAAACTGGGGCAGGTACACATTGCCAATGTCAGTCTATATAAACCTTTTTCCTTTTTAGGAAAGCAGTTTTCCACTAGGTACCAAAATCCATTAAAAAATTCACACTCCATTTCAAATTAGTGGGTAAAGCACAGTCTATTTAGTAAATGGCCTTGGGACAATTTCCATTAGGAAAACAACATAGTCAGACTCTTATCTCACACTATTAATGAAATAAAGTCCAGATGGATTAAAGAGCTATACAAACTAACAAACAAATAAACAAAAACCCTAAGCAAGTATTAAAGGAAAATACAAAGGCATCTATGAAAAACCCACAGCTAACATCATACTCAATGGAGAAAGACTGAAGACATTCTCATGAAGGTCAGGAACAAGACAGAGACGCCCACTCATACCACTGCTGTTCAGTATCAGTCTTAATTAAAGTCCTAACCAATGCAACTAGGCTATGAAAAAAAAAAAATGAAAGGTATCCAATTTGAGGAGGAGGAAGTAAAACTTTCCCTTTTCACAGATTACATGATTTTTTATATAGAAAACCCCAAAGAATCCACAATAAACCTATTGTTGTTGTTGTTGTTCTGTGCCGTCGAGTCAAACCCGACTCATAGCGACCCCTCCTTGGGTTTCCGAGGCAGTATCACTACGGAAGTAGGATTGCCCAACCTTCCTTCCGAGGAGTGGCTGGTGGGTTTGAACCGCCAGCCCTCTGGTTAGCAGACAAGTGTCTTAGCCACTATGCTACCAGAGCTCCATAAACCTATTAGAACTAATAAATTCAGCAAAAGGGCAGGGTACCAAGTCAACCTATAAAAAACAGTCGTTGTTATGTGCAGTCGATTTTGACTCATAGTGACCCCTCCCTGGGTTTCTGAGGAGGTATCACTACGGAAGTAGATTGCCCAATCTTCCTTCCGAGGAGTGGCTGGCGGGTTTGAACTGCCAATCTTCTGGTTAGTAGTCAAGTGCCTTAGGCACCATGCCACCAGAGCTCCAGGAGGGAATCTAAATATCAACAATGAGCAAGGAGAAAAGGAAATTAAGGGAACATTACCATTTATAATAGCATGTAAAAGAATAAGGTACCTATGAATAAATTTAACCAGCAAGGTGAAAGACTTGAACATAAATAACAGTACTGAAAGAAATTAAAGACTTAATGTTCTGGTTCCCTAGTGCCGCTCTGATAGGAATATACACCACAAATGGGATGGCCTTAACAAACAGGAGTTTATTCTCTTACAATTTGGAGGCTTTAAGTCTGAGTTCAAAGTGCCAAGCTCTAGGGGCTGGGTGAAAGCCCCTCAAACCTGGGGTCCAGCTCTGCCTCCTGCTCCTTGCCTACTGGAGCTAGAGGCATTTCTTTACTCAAACAGCTGCTCACTGCTGAGGCTGACAAAACCATGGTTGACAAGTAAAAAGGCACAGTCCCGATGTTACCAAACCACATGGCAGGCCATTAACTTAAGTCCATTTTAAGTCCAAGGTCGGCAGAGCATGGCAGGCTGCTGAACAATAACACGACTACATGCAGGGTCCAAGTTTGCCATAAGCTAGAGACCATTCCCAAAGCTGTTTCTTACATACGGGAAGCAAACCACATACCCAAAGGCAGCTACTCAACTGCTCCAAGTAGATTCCACCATGGAATTGATTACCAGTCTTATCATGGGGAATACTATATCCAGCTGCCTAGCCACTCAACCAGGCCCAGCCAAGTTGACACACAAATTGAACTATCACACCTAAAAAAACGGAAGGTCATTAAGTTTCGTGGATTGGAAGGCTTAATATAGTTAATATGTCAGTATTACCCAAAGCAATAAATGAAATCCTCATCAAATTTCTAATAGCTTCCCCCACACACAACCTAAACAGAAAATCCAATCCTCCAATTTACATGGAAGGTCAAGGGACTGTGAATGGTTAAAGAAATCTCGAAAAAGAAGAAGTAGGAAGACTCATACTTCCTGATTTCAAAACATACTGTAAAGCCATAGTAAGCAAAAGTCAACTGATTTTCAACAAGGGCATGAAGTCTTTTCCACGGGGAAGGAAGTCTTCTCAATAAATGGTGCTGGGAAAATCGGATTTTCACATGCAGAAGAATGAGTCAGAATCTAAGTCTCACACCATACACAAAAAACTGATTAAAAATGGATCAAGGACCTAAATGTGAACACTGCTGTTGGGCGCTGCAAAAAGGGCGGGGGGCTCCACCTTCTGACTTCCTCCAACCTCACAAAGGAGACAAAATTAGCAGCAGCCCAAAGCTTATTCCTGTGAGGCCAGACATGCTGCCACCCTCCAGCCTTTCACCAATTCTGCCATGGCACTCACTACTCTGCTGGGTTCGGTAATTCATTGCCATGGCCACAAAGAACTCAAAGACAATACTCACGATTATGGAGGACTGCTAACCAGAAGGCTAGCTGTTCAAATCCACCAGCCACTCTGCAGAAGGAAGACTGGGCAATCTACTTCCGTAAAGACTTAGCACTTCGGAAACCCAAAGGGGGTCGCTATGAGTCAGACTCGACTTGATGGCAGTGAGTTTTTTTGTTTTTAAAAACAGGCTATAATTCAGGTTCAGGAGCGACTCAGGCTCAGGATACAATTCTTCCATCAGGGCAGTCTCCCCTCTGCTATGCCCTCAGGCACACCTCTCTGGCTCTTGGCCTCTACGCCTGGCCTCTGCCCTGCTTGGGCAAATGTTATAAAGCTCTTAAGCTCTGCTGGTAAGTGCACCTAGGTGGACCTCACTCCACCAGCAAGCCTCCTGCCCAGCGGCGGCACTCAGCTTTCTTGCTCCGTGGGCCAGGAAGACCGCCACTCTGTCTGGTGCTTCTTGTTATCTCAGCCAGCTGTCTTGGCCATCCTCCTGGGAAGGAGGTCCAGGGCAGGGATCTTGGGTCCAAGGATGCGCTCCACTTCATCTCCAGTTCCTCTCTCTTGATGGCAGTGAGATCCCCTCCTCTAGGAGGGCTCATTTAAAATTCCCACAGCATAGCAAAAGTAACCAGTCCTCACATTAGAGTTCCATACACCTTATTTGCATGGTCCCATGCAGTGATCTGGTGGGAGCCACAAAGACCATGGCTAGAAAAGCCATACCAAGTAATTCCCGGTACCACAGGTGCCACTGAGGTCATTCCAAATCATAGTGACCCCACGTGATAGAGCAGAACTAGCCTACGGGCTTTTCTTGGCTATAGTCTTGGCTACAGAAGCAGACTGTCAGGTCTTCTTCCTTTGGAAAAGCTGGGTGAGTATGAACCACCGTTTGGTTAGTAGTCAAGCACTCAACTTTTGTGCCACCAGACCACCTTAAATGTGAACATTAAAACCATTAAAATCTTAGAAGATGCAGGGCCTAGTTTTTAATGATGGATTATCAGATATGACCATAATTGATCAATGAGATTATACAAAAATTAAATACTTTTTTAATTATAAAATATTTCAAACAGAAACAAAGACAAGTGCAATGAACCCCCACGGGCCCATAATTTAGGTTCAAAAACTATCAACTAATGGCTAATCTTCTTTCTTTTTAAAATCCCTTCAACCGTATCAAAACTGTCTCTTAATTATCCATCTATCCCCCCCCCCCCAATCTCTATTCCCATCCCTGGTAACCAACAAAGAAAATTTCCTTCCCTGTGTAAACTTTTCCTTGATTTTTTACAATAATGATTTCATACAGTACGTGTCCTTCTGTGATTAGTTTATTTCATTTAGCATAATGCCCTCCAAGTTCATTCATGTTATGAGAGGTGATTTGCTGATTCTTCTTCATTCTTCAGTGTTACATAGTATTCCATTGTGTGTATGTACCATAGTTTGGTTATCCATTCAACTGTTGGTGGGCACTTAGGTTGTTTCCATCTCTTTGCTATTGTAAATAGTGCTGTGATGAACATGGGTGTGTGTATATCTATTTGTGCCCCAGGCCTTACTTCTTTAGGATATATTCCTAGTAATGGGAGTGCTGGATCAAAGGGTTTTTCTAACTTTTTAAGAAGCGCCATACCGTTTTCCTCCGTGGTTGTACCATTTTAAAACAGTCCTACCAGCAACATATGAGAATTCCAATTTCGCCACATCCTTTCCAGCATTGCTGTTTTCTGCCTTGTTGAACTTTGCTATTCTTGCTGGGATGAGATATCTCATTGTTTCGATTTGCATCTCTCTCTCTCTAATGGCTAATGAGGAGCTCTGGTGGCATAGTGCCTAAGGCATATGACTGCTAACCAGAAGGCTGGCAGTTCAAACCTACCAGCCACTCCTTGGAAGGGAGATTGGGCGATCTACTTCCATAGAGATACTGCCTAGAAACCCAAGGAGGGGTTGCTATGGATCAGAATAAACTCAACAGCAGTGAGTTTGGTTTTGGAATGACTAATGACTGCCTAGGGCATCTGATTGTTAACCAGAAGGCTGGCGGTTCAAATCCACCAGCCACTCCTTGGAAGGAAAAGTTGGGCAATCCACTTCCATAGTGATACCGCCTTGGAAACCCAAGGAGGGGTCACTATGAGTTGGATCTCACTCGACACCACTGAGTTTTGAGTTAATGACTATGAGGGAGCTCTGGTAGCATAGAGCCTAAGGCATTTGACTGCTAACCAGAAGGCTTGTGGTTCAAACCCACCAGTCACTCCTTGGAAGGCTAGGCAATCTACTTCCGTAGTGATACTACCTCAGAAACCCAAGGAGGGGTTGCTATGAGTCGGATC